CAGACAGTTGTTCCTGCAGCGACCGCTTTCCCGGGGGTCCGCTGCGCGCTGTGTGGGTGCCTCAGGCTGGGGGTCTGTTGGGTCTCCATGCGGAGTTTAACCGAAAGCTGAACCCTGGCTGTGATTGCAACAGCAGTCGCCAGCGCGTAGAGGAGGTGGCATTTTGGGCTGCTTTTTCCACAGTTTTTTGTGGCTTTAGAGCAGCTTGATTGGCAGGAGAGACATTGCTTAAAAGCGATCTAAGGGAGGGATGCAAAAGGGTTCGGCACAGGTTTCGTCCGTGCTTCAGAGCTGGCTCAGGAGGTGCTTTTGGTCGTGAAGGTGTTGGGTGTTTGATGACAGAGTTATTGCATTGCTGGAGACGCAGCTGGTGCATCGCAGTGTGCGTTTTCAGCAGCAGAAAGGAGAAAAAAAAGAGCTGCTTCAACCATCGCAAGCTGTTAGAGCTGGAGATGCAGCATTCCTCCAGATAGAATAGTCTGGAAAGCAAATTTAGACAGGGCACAACTGCCAGCTTTTGGCTCTTATTGCAGTGAAGAAAAACTGCTAAGCCCTGCTTTTCTCTTGGGGTGTGTAAACCCTGTGGATGTGCTGAATGTCGGCTGGCATCACTGCGCTGCGACGTTGGGAGCTGAGTTCAGCTACTGAAAAAAAAAATAGTTGGTTTAAACGTGGAGTCATTAGCATGCCTTCCACAGGCAAATGAGTCCAGGTTCTCAAAGAGAAACTGTTCAATTTATTGTTTTCAACTCAAATTCTCTTTTTTCCTCATACCACTGAACCATCCCTGCTTCATTCCCGTACCCAGGATGAGACAGGGGCGTATCTCATCGATAGAGACCCCACCTATTTTGGTCCAATACTGAACTACCTCCGACACGGGAAGCTCATCATAAACAAGGAGCTTGCAGAAGAAGGTAAGAGAAAGATACAGGGTGAGAACTGGAAACGTTGTTTGACAGCAGCGTCCGGGAGCCGTCAGTGGAACCTTGCCGGAGTGCACAGGGTTCCTGACGTGGTGGGGTGTGAGAAGCCACGCTTCCCAGTAGTGCCGTTAATCAGTACTGTGTGTTTCGCAGAGAGATGCCCTTTAACATGGATTAAACCATTATAAACCATTAGATTCTGTATCTTCCTGAAGGCAGAGGCCTGTGACTTGTAACACAACCTGTCATGGTTCTGCTCAGCTCACAGGCTTCTGTTAGCAGAGCAGATCTCTAGAGCAGCTCCTCTCCCACCACAGACAGCAGTTCCCTACAAGCAGGCAGCTTTGGTGACTTTCCCCGAACAGGGCTGCGCAGAGGAAACGGAGGTTGTACCACGAGGTTTCTGACTGTCCCGGGGAAAGGGAAATAACCCTTCTTAAAGATCCTCTGAGGCACAAATGGAGGTGACAGCTACTTGGTCACTTTCTGCCAGCCTGGGAGCGTGAGGTCGGTGGCACAGTCTGTTCAGCATTCGAGGATTTTCGTAGAATCATTTAGGTTGGAAGAGCCCTTTAAGATCATCTAGTCCCGCACCTGGGCTAGATTTGGGGTCAGGAGCAGGTGTTGCATCCTCATAGCAGAATCACCTTCATTCCACCCTGTGCCAAGTGACAGACTTTCTCTTGTTTTGGTTCCTTTCCTAGGGGTACTGGAAGAAGCCGAGTTTTACAATATTGCATCTCTTGTGCGGCTGGTGAAGGAGCGGATACGGGATAACGAGAACAGAACCTCTCAAGTAATGCCCAGCAGCATCTGCGTGATGAAGTCAGCCATTTTCTGTAGCGTGGCAGAAGGACAAGCGTGGCTGCAGACACTCCTAGTAGCAGTTCTTTGGTTCAGGAGTCATCTTTAACAGGGGGAATAAGTGCTGTTGGGTAGATCCAGGGCAGGAAAGAGCATCCATTGTGGTTTTACAACCACAGAGCACCGAGTCATCTTGTTAACGTTGTAGGGAAGGGCAATGAGCAGTTAAACAAGAGGGACCAGGAGCAAAAATGGGTAGTTATACAGCAAAACCTACTGCTTTGGTAGGTATAGTTTAAACTCTTCCTTCTCTGAAGCATTTTCTTCCCTTTATATCTGTCTGTCTCTGACAATTTTTCCCGACACCCAGTGGATTCCATTTCAGAAGGGATATGTTTTCAAAAACCAGTAAATAGCTTTGAAAGCCAGAGCAGTTTTGCTTTCACTGGCCCTTTGGGGACTAGAGGGCTTTTAAGAGAAGTGTGCCAACCGTGTGTACCCATTTTAGAATCGGTTGGATGGTTACAAGGATAAAACCTCAGAAAGCCTGTGGGCCTCAGACTTCCTCAGATAACAAGATGACAGAGCAGGAGACCCTATGAGAGGCTAATTCATTTCCTAGCTTGATACCAGTACAGTAGCTACTAAACTCACCCTTGTTTTTATTCTCCGTGCTTTAGGGACCTGTGAAGCACGTGTACAGAGTCCTGCAGTGCCAAGAGGAAGAGCTCACTCAGATGGTGTCCACCATGTCCGACGGGTGGAAATTTGAACAGGTACCATTACCAAAGAACAGCAGAATCCCTTTGAAAGCTGTATATGGAATAAGTAGAGTTTGCTATTGAATTGCACTTCTCTTTGCTGCTGAATAAGCAGTCCGAACGGAGCAGCAGTCTGCTTGTGTAGAATAACTGACAGGGAAAACTGCCAAGAGAGATTTCATTTTCTCTCAGGAATTCTTGTGTTCTTGTCAAATCCCAGAGCAATTCTTCCCTTCTCCTGCCTTTCATCACATATACCAGACCCCAGCACAACAGTTTTATCCAGGAAAATTAATAGAGCCCTGAAAAAACACAGCACGACTTTTCTGGAAGCTCAAAGCCACGACGTCTGTGTTTGCTAAAGAGGCGCTGAGTGACATGAGAAATACACTTCCTGCAGATGCCTTTGTAACGCAGCCAGTTTCAGGGCTAGGTGTCACTGGAGTTGCCTATGCCATGAGTTCCAAATTTGGTTTCTGGCATCGGATACCATCCTCTTATTTAGGAGGATGGAGAGCTGGAAACCAGCTGGGCTGCATGTTGATGCTGTATTAAGAAATGCCAGAATAGGCTCCATGGATTACAGCTCTGCTGTCTTCCCAGTTAGTCCACCTTCAGTACAAGTGGATGTTGTGGGAAACGTGCTGACGTGAAGTGAGGTGTAGGATTAGCAACAGCGCTTTGCATCGCTTGTTCATATGTGTCTGTTCTGTAATGCCTGAAAACTCCTATTGCGTGGTGGGGAGGCAGCCAAACCCTCTTGCCCTCGTGAGCTGGTGGTGAAATCTTGGGACCAAGAGCCAGTAGCTGCTTTATGGAAATGCAGTTCTCCCAACGCCCGGATTTTGCTGTCCAAAAATTTACTTAACAGCTGTTGCTTTCACATATACACATACTCATCCCCCAAACCAAAAGGCTATAGGCAGTGCCCTGCTCAGGAATCTGCACGCTTACGGCTTTCCTAGTCCTGCTTTTCAAATCTGTAATTACAGGGTCAGCGTACCGGTTACAAACAAATGCTTCCTCTTCCCTCCATCTGCCATCCACAACCCTGCACGAGCCACGAGATCCCTGCCAGCCTCCTTATTCCTGTACACTACAAGCACCAGGAATATTTCCAGCACATCCCACTCCAGCACACTCCCACCATCAGGGGCTGTCTTTGCCATCCCTGGGACTTGCATTCAGCTCAAACACCCCCACGGGCAGCAAGCCTAAACAGGACAGACGGATACAACGCTTCGGTGAGGGCTAGAGCCCGTGTCACACAGCAGTGCAGCCTCTCCCCAGCTGTGGGACGGTCCAGGCTGGGTCCCAGAGCAGGAGCCCGGCAGTGGTGCAGCACGGGCTGTGTCCCATGCTGAAATGGGCCCTGCTGGGAGGCACATTGTACCTGCGCCTTACTGCCGAGGTCTTTCCCAGCGTGGCTTCTGCCCTCCCCCAGATCTCACCACTTGGCATGCTGAGACACCTTAGGAAAGAGCAACAGCTCTGCGTACTGGGGACAAAGAGAGCCCGTTGCCGAGTCTTACCCTGGGTGCCAGTGGCTGAACAGACCGGGCATTCCCTTTGCAGGCTCTTTGGAACTGGTCACTTCACAACATCAAAAAGACTGGTTCAGAAACTTGCAGGAAAGCCAGAAGTGGTAAAAGCTGTTGCAGTCTTCTCGTCTGTCAGGCTTGGGTTCTCAGAGGAGCATGTGGCCTTTCAGGTTCTCTGCCTTGTACCATGTGGTCCTGCTTAAGCTAAGGACGGAATAGAAGTTTGCTATTTTAAACAGAAATGCATTCTCCGGTCCACCTACAGTTCAGTAGTCTGGAAAATTGCTATCTTTATCAAAGATACTTTGTGTTTGTTGAGTAAATGGTGGTGTGTGGTACTGAAATATCCAAGAGCTTAAAGAGTCAAGACAGGGAGCAGGGAAGCAAAAGAAAAAATACTTTTTTTTTATCCTGCGTTTATCTTTTGCCCTCAGCACAGACATCAAACCCTATTTAAAACAGTACTGGAGGTCAGTCAGTGCGACAGCCCCCCATGTCTTCCTGCAGCTGTAACCATGTAGATAGTCATCTGCCTCGGAAGGCTGTGGCTGCATCTGTCTCATCTATAAATACAGAGCGCTCTCTTCTAAAATCCATTAGGACGTGGGAGTGAGGGTGCATGCTGCCTGTTAAAGTTTCCTAGATGTACACAGTTGTTAGATTCACATTGCTTTCTTCAGGTTACTGCGATGTAGTATCTGGAAAGCAGAACAGAGTTGTAAATGACAAATTAGCTCTGCACTCCAGGATGTCCTTTTAATGGAATAATGATAAATGAGACAGATGGGATTTCTTGGATTGGGTCCAGACCCCACATCACAACAGTAGTAGAATATAATCCCATTTATACAGATATCAAACTCCATCTTGACAGCATCTATGTAAAGAATGGTGCCAGTTTGCCACAAGTCCCCTAGTGAATCCAACATCTGTCTGTGGTAAAGGATTGCCTTTCCAGTTTTCACACATCAAAGTCAAAAGGCAAGTTGAGAGCGGAGTTCAACATAGTCTGCACCAGGAAGTCTGCATCGCCAGCCCCGTATCTGAATTAGCTGGACATTATATATTGCAAAATCTGACCTGGTTTTCCTTTTTCTGCCCTCAGTAATTGGGAAGTGTTCTGTTTTTTTTGGCATTCCAGTTTCAGGCTGGAATTCTTTCCCAGGGCTCCAGGTGCCACCAGAGGGCTGTGGAGCAGCCATGTCCCTGCCTTACGCACCCAGAAATGACTTGAGGGTGACAGAGCCCTGGCACAGGCTGCCCAGAGAGATTGTGGAGTCTCCTTCTCTGGAGATATTCAAGACCCACCTGGACAAGGTCCTGTGCAGCCTGCTGTAGGTGACC